TATGTGAATATAAAGATAATGAAGAATAAAGCATATCTGGGAGAAAATTAGTATTATTTTCCCATGTCACCCACAGCTGGCTTGTTATATTTTCACAAACATCCTCAGTGGCCTAAGCTCCCTGATGATGTTGTGCAAGTTTTTATGTAAATGTAAATGCACCTTTACTAAATGTTGCAGATATATTTCAATGAGGTAAAATATCACTGCTGCATAATTTCTTCCCCTGAATCCTCCAAATTGATTTAAAGTCCCCAAATCTGTGAACTTTTGGCAAATACGCCACTTGTGATGTTTAGTAAAGTGTGCCTAAGTTAGCATTGTTACTTTATGTTTTAAAATGAAGAAACATGTGTTCTACTGAATTGTAAAAAGATACGTGAAGTCAGGGAAAATCTCTCAGGCAGCATGACCTAGCATATTGTAACACCAAAAAACAAACCCATTCTTATCAAATCAATTCTGATTCATGGCAACCCTATGTATTATACAGTAGAATGGCTCCACGGGGTTTTCCTTGCTGTAATCTTTACAGATGGAACCCTGATGGTTAAAGCACTAGGCTATTAACTGAAAGGTTGTCGGGGCAAACCCACCAGCCTGTCTGCAGGAGAAAAATGCAGCAGTCGAGTTCTATAAACATTTACAGCATTGGAACCCTACTGGGCAGTCCTACCATGTCCTACAGGGTTATTATGAGTCAGAGTCAACTCTCTGGCAAGGAGTCTGGCTTCTCGGGGTTTTTTAATTTTTACAAAGCGTATCACCAGGCCTTTGGTCTGTGGCATCACTGGGTTCAAATCTCCAACTGTTAATCAGCTGAGAGCAAAGCGTTTGTGTCAGCCAAGTACCTGTCATCGGTGCTCAAAAATATTTGTTGATGACAGAATTTTTGAATATTTCAAGTTAAAAAAGCTCCGTAATCTACTGTCAGAGCTACAGGAACTGATGTGACTAAAGATTCATTATCCCTTAATCATAATGATGCAAATGATAATGATACAAATGCCAGTCCTTTGAGTTAAGTGGCCATTATAACAAATCCAGAGAAAAGGACTGCCTTCTGCTGCATCTTCCAGCCAGTATTAGGGAGCAGATTCAGACACAGCTGCACGGTCAAAATACTTAGCCTCATTATATAGCAATGACTACTGCCTGCAAAGGAACATTCTATATAAGGAAGATCAGCAAGTTGAATTCCTCATCATAAAACTGTCAATTAACCACTTAATTAATTGCCCATTAAATATTGTCTAAATAGTAATTGTGCCAAAAATGTTTAGTCTAAATGCATGTGTTGTTATTGTTGTTGTTAGGTGCCATCAAGTTGGCACTGACTCATAGTGACCCTGTGTACAACAGAACAAAACAATGCCTGGTCCTGCACCAACCTCACAATCCTTGCTATACCTGAGCCCATCGTTACAGCCACGTATCAATCCATCTTGTTGAGGGCCTTCCCCTTTTTCACTGACCCTCCACTTTACCAAGAATGATACCCTTCTCTGGGGAATGGTCCCTTCTGACAACGTCAAAGTAGGTGAGACAAAGTCTGGCCATTCTTCCTTCCAAGGACCATTCTGGCTGGACTTCTTCCAGGAGAGATTTGTCCATTCTTCTGGCAGCCCACAGCCCTTTCAGTATTTTTCACCAGCACCATGACTCAGAAGCATCAACTCTTCTTCGGTCTTCCTTATTCATTGCCCAGCCTTCACATGCATATGAGGTGATTGAAAATTCCATGGCTTAGGTTAGGTGTACTGTAGTCTTCAAAGAGACATTTTTGCTCTTCAGCACTTTAAAGAGGTCTTTTGCCGCAGATTTGTCCAGTGTAATACGTCATCTGATGTCTTGACTGCTGCTTCCATTGGTGTTGATTGTGGAACCAAGAAATATGAAATCCTTGACAACTTCAACATTTTCTCCATTTGTCATGATGCAGCTTATTGGTCCAGTTGTGAGGATTTATGTTTTCTTATGTTGAAGTGTAATGCATACTGCAGACTGCAGTCTTCAATCTTCATCAGTAAGTGCTTCAAGCCATCCTCACTTTCAGCAAGCAAGGTTGTGTTGTCTGTATATCACAGGTTGTTAATGATTCTTCCTCCAATCCTGATGGCACAATCTTCTTCACATAGTCTGGCTTCTAGGGTTGTTTGCTCAGCATATAGATTGAATAAGTATGGTGAAAGTATATAACCTTGACGCACTGCCTTCCTGATTTTAAACCATGCAGTATCCCCTTGTTCTGTTTGAACAACAACCTCCTGGTCTATGTACAGGTTCCTCATGAGCACAATTTAGTGTTCTGGAATTCTCATTCTTCTCAATGTTATCCATAATTTGTTATGATCCACACAATCAAATGCTTTTGCATAGTCAATAAAACACAAGTAAACATCTTTCTGGTCAGCAATGATATATTTCGTTCCATGTCCTTTTCTGAATCCAGCTTGCATTTCTGAAAGATTCTTGTCAATACACTGCTGCAACCACTTTTGAATTATCTTCAGGAAAATTTTATTTGCATATGATATTAATGATATTGTTTAATAATTTCCACATTCTGTGGAATCACCTTTCTTTGGAATGGGTATAAATATGGATCTCTTCCAGTCAGTTGGCCTGGTAGCTGTCTTCCAAATTTCTTGGCATAGATGAGTGAGTGCCTCCAGTGGGGCATCCGTTTGCTGAAACATCTCAATGGGTATTCTGTCAATTCCTGGAGCCTAGTTTCTTGCCCATTTCTTTAGTGCAACTTTGACTTCTTCCTTCAATATTATCAGTTCTTGATCCTATGCCACCTCCTGAAATGGATGAAAATTGACCAATTCTTTTTGGTACAGTAACTCTGTGTATTCTTTCCATCTTCTTTTGATAATTGCTGCGTCATTCAATATTTTGCCCACAGAACCTTTCAATATTGCAACTCGAGGCTTGAAATTTTTCTTCAGTTCTTTCAGCTTCAGAAATGCCAAGCATGTTCTTCCCTTTTGGTTCTCTAACTCCATGTCTTTGCACATTGCCAAATATATGTAGGAGGAATCAATTAAACCAATCTAGAATGTGGGATATTCTATACAACAACTGCACTGAGCTTTTCCAAAAATCCACTATAATAAAGAAAAAAAAGTAGATTTCAAAGTACATACCAAAAAAAAAAAACCCACTGTCCTCAAGTCTACTTGGACTCAGAGTGACCCTATAGGACAGAGTAGAACTGCTCCACAGGGTTTCCAAGACTGTAAATCTTTATAGAAACAGACTACCTCATCTTTCTCCTGCAGAGCTCTGGTGGGTTTGAACTGCCAACTTTTTGGTTAGCAGTAGCCAAATGTTTTAACCACTACACCACCAGAGCTCCCTTAAAAGAACATAAAGAGATTTTGAAAACCAAATACATTGTGTGATCATTGATTGGATACTGTATCAAAAATTAAAGTCAGCTATGAAAGATGTTTTGGGGCAGTTGAAGAAACTGTCATGTGGAATGTATATTATTATTATTGTATCAATGATATATTTCTTGTGTGGTGATAAACATTGTGTTTATGTAGGAGGATATCCTTATTCTTAAGAAATGCATGCTGAATTATTTGGGAGTATCATGATATCTACAACTTATGTTCAAATGGTTCAACAACAATAAAATAGTTGTGTGGATGTGTGTTTAGAAAGAGAGAGAATGAGAAGAAAATACAAATGTAGTAAAATGTTAACATTTTGTAGAACTTGGATGAACTGTAGAACTTAGATGAAAGGTATATAGGTGTTCACTGTATCTTTTTTTTCCTGTAAAATTCAACATTTTCCAAATAAAAAGTTGGGGAAAATATTTTTAAAATATAATGTTACAGAGAAATGTCTAAAAACACAAAAAGTACTAATGATTATAGTAAGTTTAAAAGGCACATTTGAAAATAATGTACAGGACCATTCCATTTGGGAATATTTATTTGGATGAATATACACAAATACATTAATAGAGGTCACTGTGAATGGGGTGTCTCTGGAGCTGTGCCTCAGAGGTCATCTCCAGACTTCAGTGTAGTGACTTCTGTTTTCTTTTCCTTATTTATGAAAAAACGCCTATTTTTATACACATACATTCATACATACAAGTAATTGTTTGGAAAGAGTGAAATCTGGATCTTAGAGCTTGGTCTTAACATGTCAAAACTCTGCCAAACTCAGTCCTCCTAGAAAATTGTCCCTGTTAAAGCTGATTAATCTTATGTTTACACTATTGAGATGATACCAGTGATTTGAGTATAAATAAATCATTTGATTTGAAAAAGGAAAAAAAATGATGTTAATAATTCTAGTCTCTTAGGCAGGCATTGGGAGTATGAAAGTATTGCCCCAGAGCACATAACTAATGGCCTGTTGTGGGAACTACACTGGGAAAGATTTCAGCTCATTATGAGGCTGGGCCTTGTGATGAGTAAGCATCCAACAAGGGAACGGAAGGCATCAAGAAATAATTGCCTGTTGAGATAGGTCAACCACCTGTCAGGGGTGTTATTAGAAAGAGGGACAGGACATTAGATTATTATTATATAGCCTTTAGTCTCAAAAGGGCCTATAGTCAAAAATAAAGAAAATAGAAGCAACAAGTTGGATACATCCTATTAAAGGGTAAACTACATAATTGTCCAACTAACTGAAGACAAAAGAGAAGATCAATACACTCTGGTGGGGGGACCATATTTAAAAACTGGAATATTATTAATACTGTTCAGCTAGACCAATTACTAGGGTTCTCTGGGTGGCCCAATGGTTGGGCAATGGATTGCTAACTGAAAGGTTGGCAGTCCAAACCCAGCTGTAGGCTCCTCGGAAGACAGGCCTGACAATCTGCTTCTGAAAGGTCGCAGCCCTGAAAACACTACGGAGCAGTTCCACTCTGCACACATGGGGCCATCACAAGACAGAATAGACTTGACAGCAACCAGCAACACACCAATTACTTAACCAAAATAACGAAGTGGTTTTCTTACCGATATGACCAAAATCGTAGAATTCATTCTTAAATGTTGGTGCAATGGAATAGTGCTTTGAAATAAAAAATGAAGAACAAACTACTGATGCACACAATCACATGAATGGATGTCAAAACATTATGCTGAGCAAAAGAAGCAAGACGAGAATGCATGCTATGATTCCATTTATATTAATTTCAAAAACAGGTAAAAACTAATCTGACAAAAGTCAGAGGTGATTGTGGGGAAACCACAGGGGTCTGACTGCAAAGGGGCACAAGGGACCTTCCTGGGGAGATAGAAATATTCCATATTTTGGGGTGGCAGTTACACAGGTATTTATGGCTGCCAAAGCTCATCAATCTGAACACTTAATATCAGGGCATTTTATTGTGTATAAATTATACCTCCATTTAAAAAAAAATTCACTGCCATCAAGTCAAATCTGACTCATAGCGACCCCTCCTTGGGTTTGCAAGATGGTATCTGCCCAAAAGTAGATTGCCCGGTCTTCCTTCAGAGGAGCTGCTGGTGGATTTGAACCACCAGCCTTCTGGTTAGCAGTCAAATGCCTTAGGCACTATACCACCAGAGCTCCCATTACAAATTAAATTAAAATTTTAAAAAATAATAATGTTTGCTCTGACTCCTCTGAAGAACTCAATACTTACCAAGTGATTTCTTTTTACTGCAGAACATTATTGCACCAGATTATTTTTCACCAGGCCTCAACACTTGGCCTACCTAATAACACAGGAAAAGTACACAATATTAGTATTTTTAAAATTCTCCTTAACCATAAATTTCTACCTTTCAGCATTCTTCCTAGCTAACTCCATATTACTAGGAAGTCACTGATACAATAATAAATTCAATTTATCAGACTTAAATTTAACCCAATAAGAATAATTTTGTACAAAAAGTTTCCATTTGCATTATAGAGACTATGTAAAACAACTGAAAGTAAGCATAACTGTGCCATTCAGTTAGGCATTAAAATCCCAAACGCTGTAAATCAGAATACCTTGAGAGTGAGCTTCTAGCACCTTCCTTTAATTCAACAGCCATAGGTGATTTCTTCACACAGCCAAGCTGAGAACCACTGCCAAACTACATAAGCTACATGTGAGTGAAAAGAATTGACCAGTCTCGAAAAGAAACAAAAAGTAATTCAAAAATTTTCCTCAATTTATTCTCACATGTATAATCTTCTCCAAGTAGTTCCACAAAAAACAGAATAATATTATTATATTATTTATCTTTCATTTTCTCCCTATATGAGGTCTAAATTCCTTCATATGGTAAACTCCAATTAAAGATTTAGAATGAAAAAATAAAGGGGTAAAACTATGATTTCAAATACTCAACCCAATAAGCCATGGAAGTGAATTCAGGGCATCTTCGCAAACATGAAGTACTAACTCTATGCTCTTTTAGTAAGTAGAAATGACTCACTAGCCTCCTGCTCAGGGAAGTGGTGTGGCAGGATGTAGTAACCATATGTAAAGAGTCACAAGGAGACCAGGGGAGGGAAAGAGCAAGGCTATAGCCTGGTAATTACAAGAAAAGAAGATGCAGTGGAAATTCATCAATGCTCACTCCTTCACTTTTTAGAGCCTTAAAAGCCTGGAACCGACAATATTTCTTCCTGGAAATATTGTCACCTTCCCAGATGTATGACTTTCCAGTCACCTCCTCCAGGAAAAGTAACAGCCTGCTGAAAACACAACATCTCTGGGCTGCAACCAGCAAACAGGCTCACGGACACCTGATGGGTCCCAATGCTTTATACTAGGGACCAGCTAACTAACACTGATCAATTCCAGCAAAAAGATGTGGATGTTGCTGCCAGGTTCTGCTACAAGCAGAGATGGGCCCTCAAATATAACCCACCAGTAGCTCCTCTGTCCCTCCCCACACACACACCTAACCACCAGCACTAAGTCTGCCCAAGACCACACTTCCTGCCTTCCACCACTTCCCACAGTCCCCCGCCACTTCCCCCTGCATGGCCTCTGACAGCAGCTTGCACCTGGGAAATGTCTGCTGACCACTGATCGCTTTTCTCCTGCATTCCTCCTAACGGTTTCACTTGCTCCAGTGTTGGCTGCCTCTAGATCTGTGTTCACATCAAAGCCAGAGTCATCTTTACAAAAGTTAAATGGCATCATGTGACTGCCCTGCTTAAAACCCTACAATCAGCTTCCTTAGAAAAAAGATTAAATTCTAACAATCTGTTGGTGTTGTTAGTTGCCATTGAGTCAGCTCCTACTCATGGCAATCTTATGTTTAATGTAGTGAAAAGTTGTCAAGTCACGTGCCTTGTCCCTGCTCATCTTTGTAGCCTGATTTCTCATCATTCTCCTTCATTGCTCCCAGGACTCCTTGCACCCACCCCCCCAAGTCTACACTACAGAAATATTCAATTCAGCTTCTTCCATTTTGGAGGCCTTAACCATCTAACCTCACCTCCAACCCCTTCACCTGCCTAATTCCTACTCATCTTTCTGATATCAACTCACACATCACTTCTGGCAGACCTTCCCTAAGCCCTCCAAATGAGGGATAGGAGTCCCTCTATGTGTTCCCATAGAGCCCTGTACTTCCCAATTCAGAGAGCCTCTACCACTCTAGAATATATTTTATTGGCTCTCTCTCCATCAGGCCACCAAGTCCATTAAGGCAAAGATTTATCTGTCTGGCTCATAATTGTATCTCTAGTATATAACTACTGTGTCTGTATCTGGTGGCCCCATCTGGTCAAAGGGTGAAGGCTCATCAGCATGTTTTAAAACAACTTGTTTGGGCTTGAAAATTCTCTCTGGGGAGTCAGTCAACATGTTCTGCCTTCATGGGCTTAGAGTTCCTGGAGCAGGGGACAGGAAGAACAATTCTTTAAGCAAAGTGGCAAAAGAGAATCTACACTCTGATAGATGGCAATGAAAATGCAGGCAGAAGAAAGAAATGCAATCTCTCAGAAGGTTAATGAGAGTACTGACTACTGGCAAACTTACCTTTCTCTTTACTGGTTTATTAGACTGGTTTGAAAGATTGGTATTAACAGATACCCAGTACAAAAGATGACTCTAAATATATGTGTGCAATATGAAGGTGGGAGCTCTGATACCATAGTGGCTAAGGCACTTGACTGCTAACCAGAAGGCTGGCGGTTCAAACCCACCAGCCACTCCTCGGAAGGAAGATGGAGCAATCTACTTCCGTAGTGATACCGCCTCAGAAACCCAAGGAGGGGTCGCTATGAGTCGGGTCCGACTCGACGGCACACAACAACAACAACAACAACAATATAAAGGTAACTAAAACTGGGCAATCTACTTACATAAAGATTTACTGCCTTGGAAACCCAAAGGGGGTCGCTATGGGTTGGAATTGACTCAATTGCAGTGAGTTTGAGTTTTTGGAACTATCTGTGTAACCTCTGCCCTCTCTCATTTTAGCTCTTCCTGAAAGCACTTCTCACTTTTAAAGCTTCTTGGTGACCCAACATAAAGCAATACTGTATCCTTCCTGAAATTATTTTTTAAATCATATAGATATTTCATTACTTTTCATTTCCCTAATGCCACTTTCCAATATGGTCTCAAAATGTTTGAATTTGAGGATATTAAATAAATCTTTTTTTCAATTTTAGTCAGTTTTTTGCTTTTGTATAAAATATTCTCTACTTCAAAATTAATTCAAATGTTTTTACTCATTAAGACATAAAATAGGAGCTCTGTTAGCATAGTGCCTAAGGCACTTGACTGCTAACCAGCCACTTTGAACCACCAGCCACTTCTCGGAAGGAAGGTTGGGCAATCTACTTCTATAGTGGTACCACCTCAGAAACCCAAGAAGGGGTCACTATGAGTCGGGTCCAACTTGACAGCACACAACAACAACAAGACATAAAATTACAACCAAAAATTAAGAATTGGCATTTCAAATCCATTTCTTTGTAGCAATGATGATGCAGGAATATTTTATGGAGGGTATGTTCATATTAATGTAGCAGATTCTAGTTTATCTTTGAGGAAGTAAAACTGAGTTCTTTTATTCTTATGGATTTGTCAACTCACCAAAATACCCTAGCCGGCACTCGCTTCACTTCTAAAGGATGTCGCAGTGAAGAAAAAGTCATCTTTTGTTGAACTTTAGGGTCAGTGTAGATCCAAGGAAATAGAGTAAACAAAATCAGGTAAGAGGAAAAGTGTTGCTAAAATAAAATCAGAATTTTGAAATTTAAACTGTTAACAAGTGCTGAAGCAAATAATATTTACATGAATACATTCCCCCTTTTCTTAAATCACTCCAAAGCAGAGGAAATGGTAAAAAGAAATCTTGGTAGCTCTTACCTTACCCTTGGCTTCATCTTATGCAAGGGATTAAAATGGTGGTTTCCTTGTGTGAAAACGCTAGTGGGATTTTATAAGAAAAAGAAGTGTAGGAAAAATAGGAATAGAGAGAAAGATAACAAATAATAGGTAAGGGCTTTACCTATATTCATTTCTTTTAAAATGCAATTTGTAATTAAAAAAAAAAAATAAAAATTGAAAGTTATACTTCCATAAAGGATTCATTTTGTTTATATCTCCAGTTTAGGTTTTGAATCTTGATCACAGAAAATAATCCTTCTAATGAAATAAATGGCATAGTCAAAAGAAGATGCCAGTTTGCATAGGGAAAATAAGTAGTTTGGTTTCAAACACCTTGGGATTGAAGTGATAACAACACACCCAAATTGGAAATGCTACTTAAGCAACTGTGGAGAAGAGGGAGTCCTGGCCATATTATAATTTCACAAAGAAGTCTCTCCTTCAGGTGAAAATGCACTTGGGTTCAGGTGGCACCATGCTTGAAGTAAATGATTAAAATGGAGATTCCTTTTAATGATCTGAGGTCATCCAACAATCAAGTTATTATAGCTAATTCCCCCTGCTCCAATTCCATTCTCACCAAGCAACCTACTGATAATAACTCACTTTCCCACAGAAGCCTGCCTACAGGGAAAGATCTTGCACTAGTCATGCTGAAGTGAACATTCTTGTCCTCCTGATGGCTACATCACACATTTTAAATTAATAAATTGCCATTCTCATTTTGTATCATCAGTATCCTGAACTAATATTAGCCTGCTCCGGAAAGTTAGATCTGCTTTTAATCTGCTGTTGAATTACAGCTTTAAGTCTACAGCACAAAAAATCCGCACTGATCATAGTTAACAAGAAGCCCCCACAGAACAGCCTGCTGAACTACTCAAGGTGCAGAAGGATGAGGTGATTGGGAGTTCATCCCTTGAAGTCAAATAGCCCTGGTCTTGGATCTCCGCTTGTTCCACTAACTAGTTACAGTAACCTGGGACAAATAAGCTCTGTCAGCCTCAGAACCAGCCTGGATTGGTTGTTGCGGGCAGAGGGACAAATGAGAGTGTTTATTTTTTTATTAGATGTTAGTTACTATCTTGAAGGCTGCCCTCTGAACCATTAGAATGAAATAAATGTAAGTCCCTCATGACTTCAGAAATAAGAGAAAGGAGATAAGCGCCAATGAATAATGACACTTTAAAGAGAGAGCATGTTTAAGGTGGGGAGACAGAGATGAGGAGGTTCTCCAAGGGGGTAGAACCAGTAGAAACGAAAGATTTAAAATATGAGGTAGAACGACAGAAAGGCAAGGAATTGGAGGAGAGTGGAAAAGAAAGGAAAAAGGAAAGGGCCAGGGCAGTTGGAGAAGAGACAAGCAGTCAAGGCCTAGAGAACCGCATGGGGCAGATTCCTGGTGGCTTTCCTCCTTGCCCAGAGCCCTGTCCAGGTGAGTCCCTCCCCATCCCATCTCCCATCTCAGACTTTAGGAGAAACAGGAGTTTCTCCACTGATGGATCCTCTAGCTCCTTTGAGCAGTGAGTTCTCTCCAGTTCTCAGGAATCAGGGACAAGCTGGACCCACGAGGAAAGAATTAAATGCACCTTCAATGAGTGCAACCCCAGATCTCACTTCTTGTGATGAATGTCTTACTCCCTTTCTTCTTTACTCTATTCTACTTGCCTTCCTCGTTCTGATTCTGTTTTCTCCTCTTTGGAGGCAGGGAACTACACCAAGGAGACTTTTAAGATAACAGAATTTAAATCCATCTCGATTACTTTCTATCTCATATTACTTTAGCAAGTCACTTGCCCTTTCTAAGTCTCAATCTCCGAATCTGTGAAATGGAGATAAGAAGACCACTCTCCCAGAGCTGTTGTGAGGTAAAATATGTGTGTTCACACGGTGCACTCCATAAAACTGTTTCCTTTCCCCTCTCATTTCCTCCTCCCCAGTCTGCCTTTTCTCTTTCTACTCTCTCCCCTTTTTGCCCCTTTCAGTCACCCACCTTCCTTTCTCAGTTTCCCTAACTCTTTTTTTGATATTTCTTGCTAAGGCATTTGCCTCCCAACCCAATCCACCTAAGGACTAACCCAATGAGAAGGGGGAGACAGGTTGGACTTAAGCAGTGTGAACTTAAGCAAGCCTTGAAAACTCTACTTGCTTGAGTGAGAAGTATGAGGCAGAAAGCTAGATTGGCAGGATGAGTGAACAAGCCTTCTCTGCTTGCTCCCTAGCTCTTTGTCCTCTCTGGCCCTACCCTTGGCCCTTTCCTCCCTCAGGCTGTAGGCTCCCAGAAGTCAAAGAGCAGGGCCTCAGATAGTCCACTAGTAGACATAGAGATTTTGCAGCTACACCCTCTGACAATCCTGCCTCCCAGTCCAAGAATATTACTTGGGGTCTCTGGGGTCAGGAACCTGAGGATCAGGTGAGATGGAGGAACTGAAGCATGACTCTAGGGAAGGAAAGTCTGGTGGGACAGGGAAATCTTAGCCTTGAGAGGTGAGACCAGTAAGGAAAAAGGGATGCTGCTAAGAAACAGCCTGGGTCTCTGTCCTTCCAGTATGGGGGTGGGGGGGCAGGTAAATAGACCAGGTGCCACCCAGTCAATTCCAAATCGTGGTGACACCATGTGTGTCAGAGTAGCACTGTGTTCCATAGAGCTTTCAATAGCTGATTTTTCTTTTTTTAGAACTAGATCACCAGGTGTTTTTTTTTCTTCCTAGACACTGTGAGGTGGGCAGGTGTAGGTATTGGTTTAACAATAGTTAGTGTTCACAAAGGCATTCAAGAGCCACATTCCTTAT